TTCCCTGCATTTGAGACAGGCTGGGACTTGGGACCTGGCACCCTTTGCTGCAATGCTTGCACCTGGACAAACGTGGCCTGGAGCTACAAAATACAAAGAAACTATAAAGGCCTAAAAATAACTGTGTGCATGCACAGTTGGGGCAAATTCTGCACAAAGAGACCAAAAAGCCCAACTGCCACTTCTGAAGAGCCCAGAGCAAAAGCAGGGAAGGGGGTCGGGAAAAAAAGCAGGGTACTGCGCATGCCCCCTGCACACACCACCACTGACGGGGTGGGCAAATCACCTAAGCCGCCCCTCCCGCCTGACCCCTGTACACACCCCTACCCTCAGGAATCAGCTAATAGGGGAGCAAGGCTGCAAGGGAATGTTACTTATTCTCTCTCCCTCCTACGCAGCAGGGGACCCAGCAAAGCCTTGCCTGAGTTTATTGTCTGGCCTCTGATCAATTTCCATTGATGAAGGAGGCCAAGAACCCTGACGGGTAACACCGTTTCCAGCTTCCCGTGGTGGCTACCAATCCTTGGGGTGCCTCGGCTTGTGGCTGCATCTCTGCCTCAGTCTTCACAAGGCCTTGTCCTCTCTGTGTCTGTCACCCTCCTCTTCTCATAAGGACACCCGTCATACTGAATTTAGGGGCCCTACTCCAGTTTCATCCCATCTTAACCAGATTATATCTGTAAAGACCCTCTTTCCAAATAAGGTCACACTCACCGGTACAGGGGTCAGGGTTAGGACTTGAATATATGTTTTGGGGGGACACAGTTCAACTAACAACAGTGTCCAAAACAGAGATCTAAATAAAGGGCTGTGATTGTGGGTAAGACGGGATACTTAACTGCAGGGATCCCTTTACCACTTCGTTTGAAGCCAAGAACCTGGATTTAAATACTGACTGGCTGTGAAGCTGTGCAAAAGCCCTTTCACCTCTCCAGTCTCAGAACACTTATCCGTGAGCGGGGATTAACTGAGGCAAGTGTGGTCATAGACCAGCGACCTGGGCATCACCCTGTGAGAAATGCTGACACTCAGGCCCGACCCTGGACCAACTGAGCCATAATTTGCATTTAAGTTGGAGCTCGAGCTGCTTCTGAGGCACATTAAAGCTTGAGGAGCACTTAGCACAGTCCTTGGGGCATGATAATTTGCCAATAAATGCTAATCCCCCCTGCTCATAAACCCCACGAAGGCACTTAAATAAAAGAGCTGAGTTTACATTTAACTTAATAACTGTGGACTAAAATGAAAGAAGGGAGGAGTGTAGGCCTTTCTCAAAATCTCTCATTCAGAAAAACTTGGCTAACTAGCAACAGGCTGTTAGTGAAACACTTAACTTTTGGGACTCTTTGGAATATATCAACTTTTTTTTTTTAATTTAAGGAAAGATTGCTCACACTACATGGGGAAAAGAAATCCAGAGATGGGACACAGCTCACCCAGTTTTTAAGGTTGTGTTATCTGAAATGGGTGAACTCACGGGTTACCGGTGTGTAATTCTTATGGAAATGAAAACAATTATTTAAGTGTAAAAACATAAAAAAAACTTGGAAGTCATGCCTCCATCTCTCAGAAGGAGAAAAGAGCTGCACAAACTGAAAGTCAATGACTTTTCTTAGCTCCATGAGAGAACTGAGGTCCCAGGATAAACCACCACCCTGAAAACTGGAGAGACAGGTGAGAACAGAGAACACAGGACCACACGGCGGAAGCCTCTGCAGCCAGAAGCAGGTAGGGACACACCCATGGTACCTGCAGCAAGATGCTGGTGGAAGCTGACGTTGGGCTAACAGTCTAAGCAAGGACCCCCATGTTTTCATGCAGTTTACCTCCGGCAGTCCCACCAGGTTCTCATGGTGAAGATGGGAGAAAAAGCCCCTTGTTTGGCTGGGGTGAAGGGAGTAGCCATTTCGAAATACGTCACAACAAATGCCAACCAACCCAGCAAGACGAAAGACCTCAGTAAATGAGAAACAAATCCTAACTTAGGAAGGGGGGGTTTTGTTCAAAGGGATGATTGCAAGGGGGAGAGGGAGAGGGGGGAGAGGGGGTGATGGAAACCATAAGATCTGCAAGCATCTCCAGACTTAGGCAAAAAGGGGGTTTCTTTTATAAAAGGGGTAAACAAGGCTAGGAGGACCCAGGTGTGGGGGGAGTCGGGGGAAAGGGGAACATGATCGGATAGGAGATCAGAGGGTGTTCCACTCAGAGGCCAGCCTGTTCTCAGCAGGGGCTGTCTGTGGGCTCAGGCAGAGGATGGGCAAAGTTCAGGCCCCTGGGGCAGGATGGACGTTTAACCAAAGTTTGACTAACACACATTTTGTTCCCATTGATCAGTGGGGACATAATAGTTCAGCTCATTTCAGAGGTAAAGAATGGGAATTTAGAGGTACTGTGGGACTGTGTCTGGCCTTTTCATAAGTAATCAAGGGGCTCCTGTGAGTCTCGCCTAGTCATACGGGGCTGGGGCGGGGATGGGGAACGATGAGTCTTTTCTCTGAACACAAAGTGTGGGAGATCTCTTAACCTTCACTGTTTTCCAGGAGCATAGAGTTCGGGTAACAGTCAGCACTGTCAACAGTAAGGGCTTCCAGGACAATCTAAGACTCTTCACTTAGGGACTTCCCTGTTGGTCCAGTGGTTAAGACTGCGCCTTCTAATGCAAGGGGTGCAGGTTCGATCCCTGGTTGGGGAGCTAAGATCCCACATGCCTTGCAGTCAAAAAACCAAAACAGAAAATAGAAGCAATATTGTAACAAATTCAATAGAGACTTTAAAAATGGTCCATGTCAAAAAAAAAGAGAGAGAAGAAAAAATAAGACTCTTCACTCATTTCTCCTCTGACTCTTCCTTTCTTTACTTTGATTTGAGCTTCTGACCCTTACCCTTGTCCTTCTCTCTGAAGAACTTTTAAATATTTCTTGCAAGGCAGGTCTACTGGTGACAAATTTTCTCAGTTTTTCTTTATCTGAGGAGGTCTGTATTTCTCCTTTACTTTCAAAGGATAATTGTGCTGGGTACAAAATTCTAGGTCAGTGTATTTTTTTCTTTCAAAACTCTGAACATTTCACCCCACTGTCTTCTACCTTGCATGGCTTCTAGTGAGAAGTCTGATGTGATGCTGACCTTTGTTTCTCCACCGGTAAGTTTAGGCAGTGTGCAATGCCGAGACTTTTATAATTATAAAGTGGAGAAGTGAAGTGTGTGTGTCCCTCATTGTTTCAGTGCATCCTCAGAAATAATCCCCAGTAATTTGAGTGGCTTTGATGCACTTTTTTTTCCAGGTTTTTTTCCCCCCCAGGGGCAGCAAAAATATACGGCTTGAGTGGGATAAATGCCATCCTCCTTTAAAAGTTCCATAATTATCTTAAAACCAACCCCAATATACATACAATCTAAATAAAACAGATTACTTGCTTTGTGAGCAACTTCAGACTAAATTCCCCAGCTTACTCCTTCAATTCTAGACCCTTCTATGTAATATGTAGCTATTGTTCAGAGATAAATATAAACACACAAATATGCTTTTAGAAACAAAAACGAGATTGCAACCTGCACACTCTTCTACAACTTTCTTTTCTCACGTAATGGCCATAATTATACTAAGGGCATATTTGCGAATCAGTCCATATAGATCTGTATTGTGCTACATTTGTGGATGCATCACAAACTTTTTGTTCTTTAACATTTAGATTGTTTTCAATTGCCTGCCATCCAAACAATACACAATGAATATTCTTGTACACTGTTATATCACATAGATTGTGCTGTTACATCCGTGGAACAAATTCTGGGAAGTAAGATTGCTGGGTCATGGGATATAAAAGTTAAAATGCGGGTAGACATGGCCAAATTACACTCTAAAAAGGTTGTAATAAACTATTACTGACAGTATATACGGGTGTTTGTCTTAACTCCTCTCCCCTTCATCTTAACACTTTATTAGTAATTGTTTAAATAATTGTCAGTCTTACAAGAAAACACACACACATACTTGTTATTAAATTTAAATTTGCATTTCTCAAGTAATTAGAGAGATTTAGATTCTTTTACCAGTGTTTTTTTTTTTGGATCAGTTGTATTTGTTCTGTATATTGCTTGTTTATATCCTTTGCTTATTTTTCTATTGAGTTGTCTTTCTCTTACTGATTATTAGAAACTCTTTCTATACTAGAGATATTAATGCCTTGCTTGCTAAATATTGCAAACATTTTCTCCCAAAGTTTTGTCTTTTATTTACGTACACATACATATTAACCTATTCATTTACACCACTGTTTCTCAAACTGTCGTTGATGGAGTGCCTGTAAGATAATCATGTGGGGTGCTCACTAAAAATGGAGATTCTAGGGCCCAAGCACTCTATGAGAATCTCTTGGAAAAGGACACAGGATTTTGTATTTAAAACAAATATCTAGATGGTAGAACTATTGTTTCATAGTCACTTATTTTTATGACTTAGATAATTATTAAATACATGACATTTTATGTTTTTGCATATATTTAGTCTTCAATCCATCTTAATTTGCTTCCTGTTATGATGCAAAAATCTAAATTAACTGTATTTTTTAATGTCTTTAATTATGCCAGCATTTATTAATAAACCATTCTTTTCCCACTAAATTAAAGCATCACCCTTATATTAGATTGTAGACTTTCTCACATTTCCATACTTTTAAAAAGACACATCCCTTTATTCTTTTTGTAAAATATTATGTATTTATAATAGAGAATTTGTGACATGCAGAATAATAAGAAATTTTAAAAATCCAGCTGTAGTAGATTGAATAGTATCTCTCCAAAATTCATGTCTACCTGCACATGTAACATTTGGAAATTGGGTCTTTGCAGATGTAATTAAGATGAGATCATACAGGATTAGGGTGGGTCCTAATTAAAGAATTAGTATCTATACAAGAAGAGGACAGATAGACAGTGAATGCCATGTGAAGACAGAGGCTGAGACTGGAAGCCACAGAACATCAAGGAAAGCCAAGGCTTACCCGCAACCACCAGAAGGTATGACAGGGGCATGGAACAGATCCTCCCTCAAAGCCTCCAAAAGAACCAACCTTGTCGCATCTTGATTTTGGACTGCTGGACCCCAGAGCTGCAAGTGAATAAGTTTCTGTTGTTTTATGCCATCAGTTTGTGGTGCTCTAGGAAAACAATATACCAACTAATCAGAAACAACTAGCTTTAACATTAGATGGTCCTCATTACAGATGTTGTGTACGTATGTATATATACATGTGTACATGTAATAGATTGACAGAAATACTTCCAGTATAATGAGGTAATTCTGTACATTCTGCATTATTAAACATTATTTTACTTGAATTTATCTGAAGAAAAAGAATAGATTTGTCCTATTAGTCCAGTGATGGTTTTTCCTATTTCTGTGCTAATATCTTGGTGTTTAATTTTTTATAGGACAAACGCTTATCACTCTTCTTTTTCAAGGTCTTTTTTTTTTTTTTGGCCTCACCGCACAGCTTGCGGGATCTTAGTTCCCCGATCAGGGATCAAACCCAGGGCCCTGGGCAGTGAAGGCGTGGAGTCCTAACCACTGGACCGCCAAGGAGTTCCCTTCAAGGTTTTCTTCATCATTTACAACCATGTGATCTTCCCTTCAAAATTTAAAATTAGTCAGTTCTAACTTATCGTCAAGAGAATCTGGAATTCTGATGGGAATTGTGCTAATTTGGCTTGGGAAGAATTGGCATATTTTTGGTACTGATTTCTCATCCACAGATATGGCAGGTTTTTCTTTTTTTCTGGTCTTGTTTCTGCCTTTCAGCAAACGGCAAGGGATTTCATCATCAGGATCTTGTAACTCGTTAAACTTTATTCCCAATTATTTTATAGTTTTTGACGCTGTTGCAGATAAAATATTTTTATTTTTAATAGGTTATTGCTTTTTCAAAAGGAAAATTGCTAGTTTTTCCTCTGCTTCAGACTCTCTTGAGTTTTAAGCCTTTTACTGAACTCAGATTTAAAACGGAGGCATGAGTTTTCGCACTTGGCCGCTGAAGCCCTACATAAGCACTGGCTTCCATGTATCTCAGTCTCCTTTGTACCCTGTGAGCTTCACAACCACGTCATAAAGCGTGGTGTCTGGTGTCTCCACTGCGCAAATGAGGGAGCTCAGCTCAGAGAGGCAAGTGATCTGCCCAGGGTCTCTCTCACACCATTTTGGCCTACCTGACAAAACCAGTTCCTAGGATACAATGCAGTCAGGAAGTTGGTACCGAGGCACGATTTCATTCGCACCAAAACGGGAAAGTTCCATGCTTACGGTGTCAGCATCTTACCAGAAAGCAAAACTGCTCTGGTGAGGAGGCGAAGGACTCCCGCGCCCGCGCGGCAAGCCGGCTTGAGGCTGGCGGAAAAAGCCGAGCGCGTTCGGAAGCGCTCGCCACGCCTTCCGCAGGGAGCGTCAGGGGGCGGGGCTCGCGTGACGGCGCGTTGCGCGCGGGGCCTTGTGGGAGGGGCGGCCGGTGCAGCCGCGGCTGCCATCTTAGCAATTCCTGGCGTTGCGGCCTTGTCGTTGGCGGCGGCCTTCGTGGCGGCCGTCGGCCTCAGGGGGAGGCAGAAAGTCAGCTCGCTGATAGCTCTCCTTCCCCCAGCCTCGACAAGATTGCCAGCCCGCTTCCGGAAGCGGAGGCGAGGACAGCCGGGCACGTGCGGGGCCCGAAGCCAGCGGTTAGTCCCAGCGTCGCCCGGAAGGATGGGCCGGTCTCGGAGCCGGAGCTCGTCCCGCTCCAAACACACCAAGAGCAGCAAACACAACAAGAAGCGGAGCCGGTCCCGGTCGCGGTCTCGGGACAAGGAGCGCGTGCGAAAGCGCTCCAAGTCCCGGGAAAGTAAACGGAACCGGCGGCGGGAGTCGCGGTCCCGCTCGCGCTCCACCAACACGGCCGTGTCCCGGCGCGAGCGGGACCGGGAGCGCGCCTCGTCCCCGCCCGATCGCATCGACATTTTCGGGCGCACGGTGAGCAAGCGCAGCAGCCTGGACGAGAAGCAGAAGCGAGAGGAGGAGGAGAAGAAAGCAGAGTTCGAGCGGCAACGAAAAATGTGAGTGCCCGCGGGGGGAGGGGCCGGGAACCGGGGAGGCGGCGGGTGCGGGGTGGCGGGGAGGGGGAGCTGATTGGCCCTGGGGCGAGTGAAGGAGGTTAGCGGGGTCGCAGGGACCGGCCCCGAGCGGCTGCAACCCTGGCCTATGGAAAGCCTGGGGCAGGACAGACCCACGAGTTGGCTGGGAAGGGCAGTAGTGGAGATGGAGCTGGAAGGGCTTGGAGCAGGGCAAGCATTTTGGCGCGAGAGGAGGAGGAGCGTCCCGGAAGTAGAGGGTGGAGTTCCGTGTGGGGTTGGAGCAGGCTGGCCCCGGAAAGTGGACGGAGGACGTTGGGGGGCCCCTGCAGAAGAGCGTTCTTGCCTTGCACCCTAAACGCGGGACAGGGATTCTCGGAGGTGAACCGCTTTAGGTGGTTGAAACGTACACGCACCCAATATAAGTCCTTATACTTTAGTGTACTCCTGCTGGTAGAGACGTCGCGGTCGCTTTTCCTGTCTTGGGCCTGCTCTTTTTGTTTTCTGAGGTGTAAAAACAGAATGCGCGCAGCTTAGGTGTGCAGTGAGGTAAATGAATCTTGACGCTTGAGTTCACCTGTGTAACCAATCGAAGCCTGCTCCGTCTTTTCACTCTTTACTAGTTATGGGCTGTAGGTCTCCGTAGCACACTTCGGTGCAAGACGTAACTCGTTTCCCTTTTTGGTGTATACGTGCTGTTCAGAAGATAGAATATTCGCTTTTACTTTTGCATTGATCATATGCAGAAGAGTCACCTCTCAAGTACCTTTTGGTCTAAGAGTAGGTGCAAATGATTCCAAACGAATGAAATTTTGGTTTTAAAGTGTAGAGTTGTGTTTTGGTTCAAGACCCTGGTACTCTGATGCGCTGGGTATTCTTTCCCAAAGCCACGTTGAAAGGTAGAGAGATTTGCTAACTCTCCCTGTTTAACCAGCCATCTTCCTCAGTTCTTCAGTGCATGTTTAGAAAGTGCTCATAAGGCAGGAGAGTTACTGAATATAGAATTTTCCTGAGACAGATTTATGAGTGCTGAACCGTGTAGGCGTTTTCAGTCTCTGCAGTGTAGTTTGTGTTATGTTCCAGCAAAGCTTGTTTCTGAAAGGAAATCATTAAGAGGTAGGGGACTGGAAAACTAACTATTATTACTGGAGGAAGCAGTACCTGGAGATCTCTTTCACTGCGTTTCTTTAAAACATGCACAACGCTTGCATTTTTCCTTTACTTAGAACTATCGGTGGGAAGTATGAACACCGAGTACGAATAATTGTGTCACAAGAAACCGTGATTATATAGAATCCCGTTTTTTTGGTCTGGAACAAGATCCTTAACTGTGAAGATGTAGCTCTCAAATAACTGTCAACAGATGAACATTTTAAAAAATTAGCTAAGATAATTCTGAGATAGTATTTCCATGTGAAAACAAAGGATACCTCCAAACAGTAATGATTTGCCATTCATTAGAGAGCCGAAACTTACGGGGAAGAGTGAAAGGAAACTTGGTATCCAAGGAATAGATAGAAGCATTTAGCAAGCTACACACGAATAGCAGAGAAGAAATCCAGGGATGAAATGAGAAAATAGAGCAGTTACATTGTCCCAAGTTGATAGAGGAAGCACATGGCCGTTAGCATTTATGAAGGGAGGAGGGGGCAGAGCTAGCAGCCACCTGTTCACTGAATCCCTGCGTGTCGTGCAGTAGGCACTACTTAGTACGCTCTAATGCCTAATAATACAGAGGAGACGATTGAAAGATCTAGGTTTTGCAGTCATGGGAATGGGCAGAAGTAGTTGTTTATTTACAAATCCTGTTGGTTAGTTCATTCACCTGATACTTATGGAGCATCTTAATAAGTGCCAGACACTATGCTAGGAGCTGTTACTCTGAAGATGATTGACCCCTCCAAGGTCTCCATCTAGCTTGAAGACAGGTAGGTAGATAATAATACAGTGTGGTAAATTCAGTGATAGTGATGTGACTGTAAAAAGGAAGCATCCTGGATGGGTAAACACCTTAGTGCTCCTCACGAGTGAGTGGCAGGTAAAAATAGGATTCTGTCAGGCTAAGCATAGGAGAATACTTGTGGACCAAGGGAGGGAGCCCCCTCCACCCCTGCCAGAATAAAGGGAGGGGTGCAGTATGGTCTTAGGTGGAGTAAAGAGGTGAATATTGACTGGCACATGCATTTCTGTAAGTATTCAAGTCATGGAGTGGCTGGAGAGGTAGATAGAGGCAGGGAATCATGAGAAGGGTCTTGCCATATTAAGGAGCTTGGATTTCATCATAGAAACCAGAAGGGTTTTAAGCAGGCAAATGGCGTGGGATTGTAGGTTTGGTTTTCAATGGAGCATGTACTGCTGTGTAGGATAGAAAGTTACAGTAAGTCCACATAGGAGTAGTGAGGGAGCAGTTGTTGGAATGGAAGAGAGGGGCAGATTTAAGAAGCATTTAGGGCAAACAAAATTGGATGTGAAACATAGGGGAAATAAAGCATTGTTTTGGCTCTCATGTTTATATTGTGGCTATTGCATCTCAGCCACCAAATGTTTAAGTGACTGCTGTGGGTCAATCACTAGTTAAAATGTCAGAAACCTGCACTTGGCACTTCCAATGTAGGCACTCGATTTTGGACATAGTGAGTTCATCCAAGGTTGACACGGGAGACTGAAGCCTGGGGGAAACCTTGAGAGTAGATAGAATGGCCCAGGCAGAGAGTGGAGGGAGAAGAGCAGTTGATTCATGGGACTGAAAGAACCTTAGGGAATGTCTGGATGTACAGTTGGACAAAGGGAGACAAGTGTGTGGTGTAGTAGACAGCAGAGAACGTAACAGAAGAACACGCACTGTCAAGTGTACCTTCTAGAGGTCCAGTGTGAGATGGAGAGAGACAGCAAAATTAAAATCTCTTGGGCTTAACCGATTAGAAAGTCTCCTTAAGGTTGGAAACCAGATGTTTTGCCGTTTACAATTCTGAGGCCTTGAATAAACTACCTGCCTGTGAGCTTGATTTCTTATCTGTAAAATGGAGATACCTGTCTCGCTTATTGTGAAGATTAAAAGTACTTAGGTGATACTTGGCATGTATGTAATGAGACTCAGTAAATAATGTTATTTAATGTAATTTTTTTACATGTAGGCAGATTGAACCTGGTGATTTTAAGAAGTGATCTTACAAGTTACGATCTTGATGCAGTAAAAGGCAGACCTTAAAATTAAAAAAAATTTTTTTTCCTCACTGTTGAAAAGTTCATTCCTGTGGTTGAAAATTCAGTTCAAAAGATTTCCTTCTCCTTATGTCCCAGTCATTCAGTGTTGCTCTCTCTTTCCTCC